GGCGCCGTGGCTCACTAGGCTAATCCTCCGCCTTGCGGCGCTGGCACACCGGGTTCTAGTCCCGGTCGGGGCGCCGGATTCTGTCCCGGTTGCCCCTCTTCCAGGCCAGCTCTCTGCTGTGGCCAGGGAGTGCAGTGGAGGATGGCCCAGGTGCTTGGGCCCTGCACCCCATGGGAGACCAGGAAAAGCACCTGGCTCCTGGCTCCTGCCATCGGATCAGCGCGGTGCGCCGGCCGCAGCGCGCCTGCCGCGGCGGCCATTGGAGGGTGAATGAACGGCAAAGGAAGACCTTTCTCTCTGTCTCTCTCTCTCACTGTCCACTCTGCCTGTCAAAAAAAAAAAAAAAAAAGTTTGTAGGAAAATAGAGTTATGTTTGTTTTAATGAAAAATATTTGAAATCATATATACTGGGGTCTTCAAAAAGTTCATGGAATATGTGTATTATGAAAGAATATATGAATATCAATTCTTTTACACTACAGGACTTGAGGTACTTTTTGAAGATAGTTTTTGTAGTCAGATATATGAGTTGCAAATATTTTTTCCAGTCTATAGCTTGTCTGTTCATGTAATGATGTAGTATTAGAGAGACAGAGACAGATAAACAGACACAGAGAGAGCACTCTCACCCACAGTACGACTCCCTAAATACCCTGAGTGGTTGGGACCAGAGCCAAAGCCAAGAACCGGAAACTGAGTCTAAGTCTCCCATGTGGGTGGCAGAGTGGTTGGGGGCAGAGCCGTTACCTGCTGCCTCCCAGGATCTGTAGGAACAGGAAACTGGGGTCAGAGGCAGAGCCCTGGGTTGAACCGGCGCTCTGATGGAGTACAGGAGTGCTAATGTGTGTGTGTGAACTAGGCCAATGCCTGCACCTGTACACCAGGCGCTCTGATGGGGTACAGGAGTGCTAACGTGTGTGTGTGAACTAGGCCAATGCCTGCGCCTGTACACCAGGCGCTCTGATGGGGTACAGGAGTCCTAATGCGTGTGTGTGAACTAGGCCAATGCCTGCGCCTGTACACCAGGCGCTCTGATGGGGTACAGAAGTGCTAACGTGTGTGTGTGAACTAGGCCAATGCCTGCGCCTGTACACCAGGCGCTCTGATGGGGTACAGGAGTGCTAACGTGTGTGTGTGTGAACTAGGCCAGTGCCTGTGCCTGTACACCAGGCGCTCTGATGGGGTACAGGAGTGCTAACGTGTGTGTGTGAACTAGGCCAATGCCTGCGCCTGTACTGGTGTATTTAGATGAGCAAAAACTGAGTCCAGCTCCCCCAGTTTTCTTTATAGTTAGTGGTTTCTATGTTCTGCCCAAGAGGTCATTGCTTACCTCAAGTCGTTATATATTCTATGTGTTCATCCAGAACTCTCTTATTTGGGCTGTGTGTTTAGCTGTGTGGTCAACTTAAATGAAATTTTGTATATAGAGTGAAATAAGGTTTGAGATTCTGTTTTCTTATAGATGACATTTGTTTAAAAAGACTTTCTTTGCCTGTTCATTTAACTTGGCTTCCGTTCAAAAATTAGTCATCTCAGGGCCTGTCGCTCCCCGTCTTCACGGAGGAACGACACTAAACCCTGTGCTGTTCTTTTGTCTGCTTGGCCCTTCCCAGGTTTGCTGCTGGTCCTTCCCGGGTTGGCTGCCGTCCCTTCCACCTCCGTGGAAGGGCGGCTCCCCCTGCCACTTTCCCCACTTCCGCGGGGGAGTGGCACACCGCCGGCCGGCTCTCTCGGGGGCTGCTCAGATGTTATCCGGATGTTCCTGGTGCATGTTGTCTCTCTCCTCCTTTATAGTCCTCTTCCACCAATCCCAACTCTGCTACCCACACGCCGAGTACGCTGCTCTCCTCCAATCAGGAGCAGCTCCTGCAGGTTATTGGTCGAACTGGAGGCAGCTGTGTAGAAGTTGTTTACTCCTCTCCCAGTGCCATATTGTGGGAGAGCAGATGCATAGAATAAGTCTTAATTCCAGTAACTTAGTCTAGTCCGAGTTGCTCCCCACAAGGGCCAGTGCTGTGGTACAGCGAATTAAGCTGCTGCCTGTGACCCTGGCATCCCACATGAGCACCGGGTCAAGTCCTGGCTGTTTGACTTCTGATCCAGCTCCCTGCTAACGAACCTGGGAAGGCAGCAGAAGGTGGCCCAAGTTCTTGGGCCTCTGCCATCCATGTGGGAAACCTGGATGGAGTTCCAGGCTCCTGGCTTCAGCCTGGCCCAGCCCTAATGGCCACAGCCTTTTGGAGAGTACACCAGCAGATGGAATATCTATCTTTCCTTGGTTTCTGCTTTCTTACCTTCGTTTCATTCATTAATTACTTTGTATGTTCCTCCATTATTTATTAACTTTTTTAAAAATTATTTTATTTATTTGACAGAGTTAGTGATAGAGAGACAGACAGAAAAGTCTTCCTTCCATTGGTTCACTCCCCAAATGGCCGGTACAGCCAAAGCTACGCCGGTCCGAAGCCAGGAGCCAGGTGCTTCTTCTGGGTCTCCCATATGGATGCAGGGGCCCAGGCACCTGGGCCATCCTCCGCTGCACTCCCGGGCCACAGCAGAGAGCTGGACTGAAGAGGGGCAACCGGGACAGAATCCGGCACTCCAACCGGGACTAGAACCCAGTGTGCCGGCGCCGCAGGTGGAGGATTAGTCGTGTGAGCCGCGGTGCTGGCCTCAATGTGGTTTTTATTTGCATTTCCATATTGGGTAGTGATCCTGAGCATTGATTATGCATCTGTTGCCATTTTTATCTTTGAAAAATTCCTGTGCATGTATTTGCCCATTTCTCTCTCTTTTTTTTTTTTCTTAAAGATGTATTTATTTATTTGAAAGGCAGAGTTATAGAGAGGCAGAGGCAGAGGCAGAGAGAGAAAATTCTTCCATCTGCTGGTTCACTCCCCAAATTGCCACATCCATGGCTGGGCCAGACTGAAGCCAGGAGCCTGGAGCTCAATCCGTGTCTCCCATGTGGGTTCAGGGGCCCAAGTATTTTGGCATTGGCAAGGTGCCTTGGCAGGGAGCCGGGTCGGAAGTGGAGAAGCAGGATTCCAGCTAGCACCCAGGCTGGACGCTGGCAGTGCAGGCGTGTCATGGCCGGGCCAGTCCCAGTGTTCTGTCTTTTCTTTTCTTTTTTTTTTTTTAATTTTTTATTTCATTTATTTATTTATTTATTGACAGGTAGAGTTATAAATAGTGAGAGAGAGAGAGAGAGAGAGAGAGAGAAAGGTCTTCCTTCCATTGGTTCACCCCCCAAATGGCTGCCACGGCCGGCACTGCGCCAATCCAAAGCCAGGAACCAGGTGCTTCCTCCCAGTCTCCCACGCGGGTGCAGGGCCCAAGGACCTGGGCCATCCTCCACTGCCTTCCTGGGCCGCAGCAGAGAGCTGGACTGGAAGAGGAGCAACCGGGACAGAATCTGGTGCCCCATCCAGGACTAGAACCCGGGGTACCAGCGCCACAGGCGGAGGATTAGCCAAGTGAGCCATGGAGCTGGCCCCTGTAATTTTCATCATTAGGGATCTCTCACATCGTTGCTTAAACTTGTCCAAAGGTATTTAAAATTTTTGCGCTATTGTAAATGGGGCTGATCTTATACGTTCTTTTTCGGCCAGAACATGGTGGTTATATAAGGATGCTATTGATTTTTGTGTGTTGAATTTATATCCTGTAACTTTGTTGAATTCTCTTATCAGTCCTTTTGTTTCCCTTATATAAAGGATCAAGTCATCTGTAAACACAGATAATTTGACTTCTTCCTTTCCAATTTGTATCCCTTTGATTTATTTTTCTTGCCTAATGGTTTGGCTAAAACTTTTAGAATTGTGTTGAATAGTAGTGGCGGAAGTGGACATCCTTGTCTGCTCCCGGAACCTAGCAGAACTGCCTCCAGCTTTTCCCTGTTCAGGATGCTGCAGCCCAGGGCTTTGTCACGTGTTGCCTCTATTATGTGAAGGTGTGTGCCTTCTGTACCCAGTTGTTTTAAGGTTTCTATTATGAAAGGATATTGTATTTTATCAGATGGTTTCTCTTCATCTATTGAGATAATCATTTGGTTTTCATCTTTTATTTTGTTGGTGTGATGTATCACATTTATTGATTTGTGTGTCCATCCCTGCAAGTCCGGGATAAATCCCACTTGGTCTGAGTGGATGATCTTTTTGATGTGTTGTTGGATGCAATTGGCTAGTATTTTATTGAGTTTTTTTTTTTAAGATTTATTTATTTATTTGAAAGTTGGATTTACACAGAGAGAGAAGGAGAGACAGAGAGAGAAGGTCTTGCATCCGCTGATTCACTCCTCAAATGGCCACAACGGCCCGAGTTGCACTGATCCTAAGCCAGGAGCCAGGAGCTTCTTGCAGGTCTCTTACATGGGTGCAGGGGCCTAAGGACTTGAGCCATCTTCCACTGCTTTCCCAGGCTATAGCAGAGAGCTGGATTGGAAGTGGAGCAGCCGGGACTCGAACCAGTGCCCATATGGGAAGCCAGCACTGCAGACAGTGGCTTTACCCACTATGCCACAGCACTGGCCCCTGTTTAGTGTTTTTGCATCTGTGTTCATCAGGGATGTTTGACTATAGTTGTCTTTTTTTGTTGTGTCTTTATCTGATTTTGGAGTTAAGGTAATGCTGGCCTCATAGAATGAATTTGGAAGGCTTCTTTACATTTCAGTTGTTCTAAATAATTTAAGAACAACTTAGTTCTTAGAAGTTTTATAAAATTAATCAGTGAAGCCATTGGTCCTAGGTTTTTCTTTCTTGGGAGATTATTACTGATTCAATGTTAGCCTTGGTTATTGATCTGTTCTGGTTTTCTATGTCTTTGTGCCTTGATTTTATTTTATTTATTTTTTTGACAGGCAGAGTGGACAGTGAGAGAGAGAGACAGAGAGAAAGGTCTTCTTTTGCCATTGGTTCACCCTCCAATGGCCTCCACGGCTGGCACGCTGCGGCCGGTGCACCACGCTGATCCGATGGCAGGAGCCAGGTACTTACCCTGGTCTCCCATGGGGTGCAGGGCCCAAGCACCTGGGCCATCCTCCACTGCACTCCCGGGCCACAGCAGAGAGCTGGCCTGGAAGAGGGGCAACCGGGACAGAATCCGGCGCCCCGACCAGGACTAGAACCCGGTGTGCCAGCGCCGCAAGGCGGAAGATTAGCCTAGTGAGCCGTGGCGCCGGCCTGTGCCTTGATTTTATTGTTATATGTGTCCAGAAATCTGGCCTCTCATGTTCTTAATGCTACTTTTGTTGCATATTTTACTGTATGTTACACATCCCAGGAGGTACTTTTATTGCTGCTGTGGTAAACAGCCTGTGTTTGTTTCTCTGTCCACACAGGTGCCCCTTTTCTGTGCCCTGCCTGCCCTCCTGGAGTCCTGGAGGAGTCCCAGGATCACTCTCTGTCGCTGGGGGAGCTCCCTGGAATGAAGAGGGCTGGCAATTAATTCTCTGGTTGCTTTTGTCAAAAAGCATATTTATTTTGTCTTCATTTTTAAAACAACTTTCACTGGACTATCATTCATACACCAAACACTTCCCCCGTTTTAAGTACATAACTTGGTGGTGTTTAATGTGTATGCAAAATCTTGCAACACAACCTTTGCACCTTTTTTAAGTTTTTTTTTTTTAAGATTTTATTTATTTATTTGAGAGGTAGCATTACAGACAGTGAGAGGGAGAGACAGAAAGAAAGGTCTTCCATCTGCTGGTTCACTCCCCAAATGGCCGGAACGGCTGGAGCTGTGCCAATCTGAAGCCAGGAGCTTCTTCTGGTTCTCCCATGTGGGTGCAGGGGCCATCTTCCACTGCTTCCCCAGGCCATAGCAGAGAAGTGGATTGGAAGAGGAGCAGCCAGGACTCGAACCAGTGCCCATGTGGGACGCCGGCACCGCAGGAGGAGAATTAACTTGCACCACAGCGCTGGCCCCTGGACCTCTTTTGTTACCCCAAAAAGATAGCTTCCCTAGCTGCCACCTTTCATTGCTGGCATCCGCTGCCTTGCCGTCCTCGGCACTCACTCATCTCCGGCTGACCTGGTGGATTTGCTCTTCTGGTCGTTTGCTGGTAAGGGGATCGCACAATACATGGTCTTCCATGCCTGGCTTCTTGCACTTAGCATAAGGTGTTCTGGGTTCCTCAATGTCATGTTATATGTCAACACTTCATCTCCTTTCCATAGAGTTCTGTTTTTATTGAAGTATAATGTCTTTGTGTTCAAGTGAACAAATCTTCGCTGTATCCACTGATCTTTTCTTGTGCATTTCATGTGTAACGGCCATGGTAGTCAAGTCAGGACATTTCCAGTGCTCTGAGGTTCCCTTCTCCCCTTTCCTAACTCATGATCCCCCCCACAGAAAAATTCCTGTTCTGACCCTTATCACCATACATTGTTTTATGGTTTGTTTGTTTTAGATTTATTTATGTATTTGACAGAGTCACAGAGAGAAAGAGAAAGAAGTCTTCCATTTGCTTGTCCACCCCCAGGTACCTGCAATGGCTACAGCTGGTCCAGGCTGAAGCCAGGAACCTGGAACTCATCTGGGTCTCTCACATAGGTGTCAGAGGCCTAAGCAGCTGAGCCATCCTCTGCCGCCTTCCCAAGGGCTTTAGCAGGGAGCTGGATCAGAAGCGGAGCAGCCGGTGCTCGAACCTGGTGCTCTGATACGGGATGCCAGTGTCCCAGGCTACAGCCTAACCTGGTGCACCAGAACACAGCCCCAGTTTATCTTTTATTAATAGCTTTTATTGAGAAATAGCTCATGCAATATACAAATCATCTTTCTAGAGTAGACAATTCAGAGGTTTTTAGTATTGTCAGAGTTGTACAACCATAAACACAGCTAATTTTAAATGTCTTCATTGCACCTCCAACCCCCAAAAGTCACACTGTCATGTCCGCTGCATTCCGTTGGTTACATGGGCCGAGCCTGGTGCGAGGTGGGAGGGCACCGTCCAAGCATGTGAATTCTGAGAAGTATGAGGAACAAAGCGGTGGTAATTCCTGGGAACTGTCACTTGCTGCTACACAGTCTGCATAGAGCCAGCCCAGTTATGCATGTCCCTCCCATATGCAAAACAGACTGTGCCCCTCTGACTAAGGCCCCCAGGAGTCTCATCACAACATCAGCTCGAAGTCCATAATCTCATCACCATCCGTGGGTGTCTGCCCCTTACTTGCAGCTCCTTTTCATCTGAAGACCCAAAGATCTGTGAACGAGAGACAAGGATCTGCCTCACCACACCACACCCATAACCACAGCACACAATAAGTGGCTACTATACACACTCCTGTGCCAAAACGGGGCAAAAGCAGTGGTGGGCACTGTGGCTGCTTCATTTCCGATCCAGGTTTCTGCTGATCCACCAGGAAGGCAACAAATGATGCTTCAAGTAGCTGGATTCCTGCCACCCATGTGGGAGACTCAGATGGAGTCGCTGGCTCCTGGGCTTTTACCTGGCCCAGCCTTGCCTATTGTGGACATTTGGAACCAGCAGATGAAGATCTCTCTCTCTCTCTCTTTCTGTGTGTGTGTCTGTCCGTCACTCTGCCTTTCAGCTAACTAAATTAATTAAGGAGTTTGCAGGACTTCTGAAGCCGGGCGAGGCCTGCGTTAGCTCCTGAGTGAGACTCGACCTGGGGATAGCCCTGCAGCTGAGTGGTTTCTCGCCTGTACTCCAGCCGGGAGAAAGCTGGGCGGCCACACAGACAGCTCTTGTTCTGCACTGGCTCAATCTTCCAGCGCACGCTGGCCGTTTCTGCCACAACGGTTCTCTCTGGTCACTCCTTCTGAGCTTCCAGCCAGGAGACCGAAGCCTCAGCCACACAATCTTCCCGGTAAATCCTCCTCCGACTTGGGCTTCTCCGAGTCCGGGACAGCACCCTCCGAGCCGTGAAGAAACTGTTGTTGGGGTGACTTCTCACTGTCTGCGCTGGATCTTTCTAAGCTCTTAGTAAAGGTTCGTTTTCCAATCACACTCATGGTTTCAGCTATAGACTCACTTTTTCCTTGGGCTAGATACCTTGGGCTAGATCTTCCCACGAGACATTTCTCTGTTGGAAAATCGCCTGCCCGGGGCCAGCATTGTGACACAGAGGGCTAAGCTTCCACCCACAGCACCAACAGCTCAAGTGAGCTCCGGCTGCTCCACTTCCAATCCGGCTTCCTGCTAATGCACCTGGGAAAGCAGCAGAAGACGGCCCACATTCCTGCATCCCTGCCGCCCACGTGGGTGACCACATAGGAATTCCAGGCTTCCAGCCCCAGCTTTTGCAGGCACTGGGAGAGTGACTATGTGAAAGGAAAAGTCTCTCTCTGTCACTCTGCCTTTCAAATAAATGCATAATTTTTTTAAATTCACTTGCCATATGAAGGAGCTTGGAATTTTTAAACCAATCCATCCCAGCTCCCTCTCTCAGTCCTTCCTTGAGCTTACCTCTCTCCACCCCATTTCATTTTATTTATTTATTTAGATGTATTTCTTTATTTGAAAGGCAAAGTGACAGGCAGAGGCAGAGAGAGAGAGAGGACTTCCATCTGCTGGTTAACTCCCCAAATGGCCACATTGAGTGGAACTGGGCCTATCCAAAGCCAGGATTCTCTTCCGGGTCTCCCACATGGGTGCAGGGGCCCAAACACTTGGGCCATTCGGCACTGCTTTCCCATGCCATAGCAGAAAGCTGGATGGGAAGTGGAGCAGCTGAAACTTGAACCAGAGCCGACATGGGATACTGGCACTGCAGGCGGCAGCTTTACTCGCTACGCCACAGCACTGGCCCCTGCCCCATTTCATTTTTTTTAAAAATATTTATCCATTTATTTGAAAGGCAGAGTTACACAGAGAGAAGGAGAGGCAGAGAGAGAGGAAGAGAGGTCTTTCATCTACTGGTTCACTCTCCAGTTGGTCATGATGGCTGGAGCTACACTGATCTGAAGCCAGGAACCAGGAGCTTCTTCCGGGTCTCCCACATGGGTGCAGGGGCCCAAGGACTTGGGCCATCTTCTACTGCTTTCCCAGGCCACAGCAGAGAGCTGGATCAGAAGTAAAGTAGCCGGGACTCAAACCGGTGCCCATATGAGCAGGCTTTACCTGCTACGCCACAGCGCCGGCCCGTCCCATTTCATTTTCAGTAGAAGAAGAAGCCAGGTGGCTTCCTGGAGAACCCGGCCCTCCTAGTCCAGTGTTTTCTATCCCACACGACAGCAGGCAGCAATGCTGTTCAGCACTCTGCCTCACTTAGGATAGGTTTCATTCCTGCCACTTTCTTTTTGTTGTTGTTTTTTGTTTTTAGAAATCCTTTTTTTTTTTTTTTAAGATGTATTTTTTTTATTTGAAAGAGTTACAGAAAGAGGTAGAGCCAGAGTGAGAGAGGTCTTCCATCCCCTGGTTCATTCCCCAAATGGCAACAGTGGCCGGAGTTGAGCCAATTTGAAGCCAGGAGCCAGAAGCTTCTTCCGGGTTCCCACGTGGGTGCAGGGGCCCACGCACTTAGGCCATCCTCCACTGCTTTCCCAGGCCACAGCAGAGAGCTGGATCAGAAGTGGAGCAGCCACAACTTGAATTGGCGCGTAGATGGGATTCCGGCACTGCGGACGGAAGCTCTACCTGCTACGCCGCAGCGCTGGGCCCTGCCTGAGTGTTAAGTTTCTGTGGGGTGGTACTGTGGTAGTACATCGCATATGGGCACCGGCTCTGGCTTCAGATCAGCCAGCTCCGGCCGCGGCGGCCATCTGGGGAGTGAACCCGCAGATGGAAGACCTCTCTCTGTCTCTCCCTCTCTCTGTAGCTCTGCCTCTGAAGTAAGTAAGTAAATTAAAAAAAAGAAGTTTCTATGGATGCCATTGTCCTACTTCGGGTGCCAAAATATATTACCTGTTGGCCAGCACCGCGGCTCACTAGACTAATCCTCCTCCTTTCGGCGCCAGCACCCCAGGTTCTAGTCCCGGTTGGGGCACCAGATTCTGTCCCGGTGCCCCTCTTCCAGGCCAGCTCTCTGCTGTGGCCCGGGAGTGCAGTGGAGGATGGTCCAAGTGCTTGGGCCCTGCACCCCATGGGAGACCAGGAGAAGCACCTGGCTCCTGCCACCGGATCAGCGTGGTGCGCCGGCCGCAGCGGCCATTTGTGGGGTGAACCAATGGAAAAAGGAAAACCTTTCTCTCTGTCTCTGTCTCTCTCTCTCTCACTGTGTATCTCTGCCTGTCAAAAATATATATATTACCTGTTTATCTATAAAATATTATCCAAAATTTAATAGCTTACACAAAAATGAACTTTTGTTGTAAATAGTATTTATGTATCTGGATGGAAGATAGATGCGCTTTTGGGGGCTTGCTGTGCTTTTTTAATGAGTCTCGTGGGTGGGCACTCTTTTTTTGTTTTAGGGTTTATTTCTTTGTTTATTTGACAGGTAGAATAACCGAGAGAGAGAGCTCGACTATCCGCTGTTTCACTCCCCACATCACTGCGACAGCTAGGGCTGGGCCAGGCTGAAGTCAGGAGCCAGGAACTCCATCTGATCTCCCACATGGGTGCCGGGCCTGTATACATGAGCCGTCTCGCGCTGCGTTCCCTAGCACATTAGCATGGAGCTGGGCTAGCGGAGGAAGGACTGGAACCTGCTCTCTGGCACAGGGTGCTGTGCTGTGTGCTGTGCCACGCCAGCCCCTGGAGGCGGCTTTCAGGTGTGCTGCCGCCACCTGGAAACCACGCCCACCGTAAGTCCCAGGTGTGCAGCAGGGCTCCAGGTGCGGCCCCGCAGTACACACAGCCGCTGACGTCTGCCTGTTCCCAGGTTCTGTGCTAGGCCTGCCCGAATCTCGCCCGTGAATTCTGTCACAAAGCTCTCCAGGATCCCAGACCTTTCAGGACGACTTCTGGGGCTCCTTCTCCGAGGCTCTCTTCTCTCAGAAGTGGCCCCTGCATCCCAGCCATTGATGGCTGCAGGTTCCAGCCTGTGGTCTGCCGGGGAAGACGCCCACCCTGCATGCGTAGGTTCCAGCCCAGTAAAAGGGCTCCCAGGGAAAGAGCCGGGGTGAGGGTGGCACCCACGCTGTGGGTTTCGCCTCGGGAATCCCCGCCTGTCTGAGCTGCTGTCGACACCGCAGTCATTTCACGCACTGCTTGGCTTTTGCTCCACAAGAAATCAGCCTGTTTCCCACCCCGCTCGCTCATTAATGCACTCCATAAAGGCATGCTTCTCTATTAATCTCACTTCCCACTCCTTGGGGTAGTTTCTGGGATCATTTCCTCATTAAATGACTTGCAAACTTGTGTCACGTGGACTGTTGCTGGGAGAACCAACACCTTAGGACTTGTTGCTGGAAGTGCTTCCCCATGGATACGCTCCTGGTGGGGGAGGAGTGTGTGCTGTGGAGTTAGGAGGCAGGAAGTACCCGCTCCTGATGGCAGGGGAGTGGAGGCAGCCCCTGGCGGCTGCCGCATCTCGTCTCACCGCCCTGCTGTCAGCTGTGATGAGTCCCCAGCTGGTAGCTCCAGGACTTGGAAGAATCAGGGGCCACTGCAGTGGTGAGACTTGTGAGGGTAGTGCTCTGGCCATGATTCACCTCCACAGAAGTGTGAGCAAACAGCAGGTTCAAGTCAGCGAGGTTCTCAGTTGTGTAGAACTCTCTAGAAGGCCCTATGGTTGTGTTGAAAGAGAGCCTCATTGGCCGGTGCCGCGGCTCACTAGGCTAATCCTCTGCCTATGGCACCAGCACCCCGAGTTCTAGTCTCGGTTGGGGCACCGGATTCTGTCCCGGTTGCTCCTCTTCCAGTCCAGCTCTCTGCTGTGGCCCAGGAAGGCAGTGGAGGATGGCCCAAGTCCTTGGGCCCTGCACCCGCATGGGAGACCAGGAGGAAGCACCTGGCTCCTGGCTTCGGATTGGCACGGTGGGCCAACCATAGCGGCCATTTGGGGGGTGAACCAATGGAAAAGGAAGACCTTTCTCTCTCTGTCTCACTGTCCACTCTGCCTGTCAAAAAGAAAGAAATAAAGAAAGAAAGAGAGAGAGAAAGAAAGAGAAAGAGAGAAAGAAAGAGAGAGGAGGAGAGAGAGAAAGAAAGAAAAAATAAAGAAAGAAAGAGAGAGAAAGAAAGAAAGAGAGAGAAAGAGAGGAGGAGAGAGAGAGAAAGAAAGAAAGAGAGAGGAGGAGAGAAAGAAAGAGAGGAGGAGAGAGAGAAAGAAAGAAAAAATAAAGAAAGAGAGAGAGAAAGAAAGAGAGAGAGGAAAAGAAAGAAAAAAAAGAAAAAGAAAGAAAGAAAGAGAGAGAGAAACCCTCATCTCTGTAGCCAGAGGGCAGCTGGCACTCAAGACCAGGCCCAGGGTTTGATTGTTAGGGTGGGGGAGTCACGAGGAAGCTAAATTCATGTCTCCAGCGGGCAAAGGTAGGACCTGGACACCCCAGATGCACACCTTGGGTAGGTGCACCAGGGAATCCTGGATCTCAGATTCCCTGGGCCCCTCTAGGCCTGCGGCAGCTGCCTCCTGCTCGCCATGAGAGAGCAGCTTCCACTGAGCCCGTGGAAGGTCTTGACCCCTGTGTGACCGTCCCCCAGTGTCTGCCTCTCCTCAGGACTTCTCAGCCAGAACTCCTGGGCTCAGGGCTCAGTGCGGGGAACGATTATTCTCCAGAGCTCCAGGAGCCGCCTGGTGTGGGCCAGCAGGGACAGGAGAAGCTGACCGCCGAGGGCTCCTGAGGGCGGAGTGGAACCAGGCCCCAAGGCTGTGAGCCACACAGGAGTGAGCGAGTCAGCAGGGCCTTGGCTTCCAGACCGCGGTGCCTGCGCCATCCCCAGAATCTGCTGGGAGGACTCTTTCTTAATTTTTTTTGAAAGATTATTTATCCACTTGAAAGGCAGCATTACAGAGAGAGAGGTTGTCCATCCGCTGGTTCACTCCCCAGATGGCCACGGTGGCCTGGACAGGTCAGGGAGCCAGGAGCTTCACTGGGTCTCTCACGTGGGAGCAGAGGCCCAAGCACTGGGCCACCTTCCTCTGCATTCCCAGAGGAATGAGCAGGGAGCTGGACTGGAAGCGGAACAGCCGGGACTCCAGCTGGCACCATGTGGGATGCCATCACCACAGGTGACTTTTCCCACCCCAGCACACTGCTGGCCCCCGGAATGACTCTTGAAAGCTTGAGACCCCAGGGGACTCCCGGAAATGCGGTAGCCCTGCCAGACCGCCCTAGCAGGCTGCTGGAGAGCTCGGCAGTGCACCATAAACAGCCGCGTTCAAGGTGGGGGGCAGGTAATCTGCACAGCTGCTGCTGGTCGGGGCACGTGGAGTTCAGAGCCAACACAGCCCAGTTCCCCACCCCACTTTCTGCTTTGTAACTTTGGACAAGTGACTCAAATCATCTGAATTTCTACTTCCACACCTGTAAAATTACTGCACTAGGCCTCATTCTAAAAGCTGAGAAGATACACTCGTCGCTCCCCCTCTTCACGGAGGAACGACACTAAACCCTGCCTAGGCTTCATATCCGAGTCACGGCACCATTATGTCACTCCCCGTCTTCGTGGAGGAGCGACACAGGACCCTGTGCTGTTCTTTTGTCTGCTCGGCCCTCCCCGGGTTTGCTGCTGGTTCTTCCCGGGTTGGCTACCGTCCCTCCACCTCCGTGGAAGGGCGGTTCCCCCTGCCACATTCCCCACTTCCGCGGGGGAGCGGCACACCTCCGGCCGGCTCTCTCGGGGGCTGCACAGGTGTTCCCCTTAGATGTTCCTGGTGCATGTTGTCTCTCTCCTCCTTTATAGTCCTCTTCCACCAATTCCAACTCTGCTACCCACACGCCGAGTACGCTGCTCTCCTCCAATCAGGAGCAAGTCCTACTGTTTATTGGTTGAACTGGAGGCAGCTGTGTAGAAGCTGTTTCCTCCTCTCCCAGCGCCATATTGTGGGAGAGCAGATGCATAGAATAAGTCTTAATTCCAGTAACTTAGTCTAGTCCGAGTTGCTCCCAGTTGCTCCCCACAACACTAAGATAAAAAATGCAAAGCTCTCGGCCTGTGGTGGATCCTGAACAAAGATGTTAGTCTGTGGCATTTTGTTTTCTTTTCCTTTCTTTTCTAAGATTTATTTATTTATTTGAAAGGCAGAGTTACAGAGAGGCAGAAAGAGAGAGAGAGAGAGAGAGAGAGAGAGAGAGAGAGGGAGAGGCAGGCTTCCATTCACTGGTTCACTCCCCAGGTCTCCCACATGTGTGCAGGGGCCCAAGGACTTGCGCCATCTTCCACTGCTTTCCCAGGCCACAGCAGAGAGCGGATCGGAAGTAGAGCAGCCAGGACTCGAACCAGTGCCCACGTGGGATGCTGGCAATGCAGGCGGCGGCTTTACCTGCTATACCATGAGCTGCCCTCCCTTTTTATGATTTATTTATTTTGAACGAGCAGTAGAGAGGGGGGAGAGACAGAAGGAGAGAGAGAGATTCTCCATCCACTGGTTCACTCCCCAGATGGCCAGCACTGAGCCATGCCAAAGCCAGGAGCCACATATGGGTCTCCCATGTGAGTGCAGGGGTCCAGGCACTTGGGCCATCCTCTGCTTTCCCAGGTGCATTAGCAGGGAGCTGGATCAGAGTGGAGCATCCAGGACAGGAAAGAGCACCCAGATGGGATGCCAGTGTCTCAGGCGGCAGCTTTTCCCGCTGCTCCACACCAGCAGTCTCTGGGACGCCTTTGTTTTGGATTCACAGAGTGCATGTGAATAGTGCAAGGGTTAGGTTCTGACTGACCACCGCTGTCAAGCAGCCCTTGTCCAATGCCGTTCCTGTTCCTGACGCATCCGGTGTGGATCCCGTGGGTACAGGACGTGTCCACGTTCCCAGCCACGGTATCGGATGACAGTGGGGGGTGATTGAGAACGGTTTGTGGTTTTGTGGGTGAGGGCTCCGTCCTCAGCAAGTGCGCTGAAGCTGTTGGGAGTGAAGCTGAGCCAGACCTGCAGCCTGAGGGGCAGGCAGAGGTAAGAGGAGGGAGACAGCCAATGTGAGAAAATGTTCACCGACGTGTGTAGGTGCAGCGTGTGCTCCTGTGCTCACACACCGTGTGTCTGAGGTTTTCCCACATAAAAGGCTGGGAGAACTTAGATAGGCATCAAGAACAGTGTTGTTTTTTAAAGGTTTATTTATTTATTTGAAAGTCAGAGTTACAGAGAGAGGGGCGGGGAGGCAGAGAGATATCTTCTGTCTGCTGGTTCACTTCCCAGATGGCTGCAACTGTCAGGGTTGGGCCAGGCCAAAGCCAGGAGCCGGGAAATCCACGTGGGTTTCCTATGTGGATGAGGGGCCCAAGCCCTTGTGCCATCTTCCTCTGTTTGCCCAGGCACCTTAGCAGTGAGCTGGGTCAGGAACGGAGCAGCTGGGACACAAACTGGTGCCCATATGGGATGCTGGCATTGCAGGCAGCGGCTTTACCTAGTAGCCATGACCTGGCACCTGGGAAACAGTTTATATCCTTGCTGTCACCCCCAGCTCAGGGCTCGCATCCTCCTCCCTGTTTCAGCACGTTTCCTGGCCTCCAGCACCTGCTACCTGCTGATTTTTTTTTTTAAGATTTTAGTTATTTGAAAGGCAGAATAACACAGAGAAGGAGAGGCAGAGAGAGAGAGAGAGAGAGAGAGAGAGAGAGAGAGAGAGAGTCTTCCATCCACTGTTTCACTCTCCAGTTGGCTGCAACAGCCGGAGCTGCGCCAATCCAAAGTCAGGAGCCAGGAGCTTCCTCCAGGTCTCCCACGTGGGTGCAGGGGCCCAAGGACTTGGGTCATCTCTACTGTACTTTCCCAGGCCACAGCAGAAAGCAGGTCATAAATGGAGCAACTGGGACTTGAACCGGTGCCCATATGGGATGCTGGCAATGCAGGTGGCAGATTTACCTACTATGCCACAATGCCACCCCCTCTTTAAAAAAAAAAGATTTATTTTATTTATTCATTTGAAAGAGTTACTGAGAAACAGAAGGAAAGAGAAAGAGAGAGATCTTCATTGCTAGTTCACAAGCACTTGGGTCATCTGCTGCTGTTTTCCCCGGCACATTAGCAGGGAGCCAGATTGGAAGTGGAACAGCTGGGGCTTAAACTTGTGCCCATATGGCATGCTGGCAGGCATTCTAGGCGGTGCCCATTCCACTACACCACAGCTATGCCCAGCTCCTTCTGCCGTTAACTCCACCTTGCGTTGGGGTGGAGAGAAGGGTTGTTGTTGTTTTAGATTTAGCAGAGTGGGGGCGCTGTGGTGTAGAGGGTAAAGCTGCCACCTGCAGTGCAGGCATCC